TTTTTTTTTTTTGTTTTTGTTGTTGTTGTTGTTTGGACGTGGGTGTGGCAGCGGCGGCTTAGGGCGACGGTGGAGGGTGAGGTGGCAGTGGTATTGTGTGAGGCGGTGGTGGGATAGTGATTTGGCGAGGGTAATTTCTGGGTTTATGGGTGGGTTTGGGGTGGCGTTTGATAGGCTGTGTGTGACTTCTGGCGAGGCGTGGGAGCGGATTGAAGTAGGGTTTGATTTTTATTTTATGCTTTGTTTGGTGGCGTCGCCGTTTACTGCATTTTGGTGGGTCTATTGAGGGAGGCAAGTGCGGGTGGGGCTGTGAAGGAGGTTGACTGTGGTGGTGGGAAATAGGCGGTGACGGCGTTTGGGTGATTGATGCTGGAAACCAGGTTAGGCTCTAATAACAATTTGATGTAGAATGAGAAAGAAAAAGAAGAGGAGGAAAGAGAAGAAGCTGAGAAGCAGAGAAGGGGAAGAAAACGTGGCAAAGCCAAACTCAAATTTTATTTAATCATCAATTGAAATCAACTACAATGAAAACTTAATAAATAGTAGAAAATAACTTAATTTTAAGAGCTTGGGCCAAACCGCTAAAACAAGCCCAACAATACGAATCGCAAATAATAAAGTCCGATAACAATAAAATAAATCTCGATGATGTNAAAGTCCAATAATAATAAAATAAATCTCGATGATGTCCGCATCAGCAACCAATCCTCGAAGTTACTACTTCAAGATGACATTTTAACTTGGATCAGATCAATTGCTCGGCTTGTGAAAGTGTTGAGCTCCTTTTATTTCTTCAATTGGGCAAAGTGCCCTGAAGTCTATTAATCCATCTTGGGCTCATAACAGTCCCCACCTATTGGTTGGCATCACAACCCAACAATATATGCTATTACCAGAAATTTCTGCTTAGTGTTGTAATGTTTAGAGTACTTAGCATCTCTAATGCTTCTTTAAATTAAGTGTAAATTGTAATTTAAATCGATCGAAAATCTCTTCAATGGAGAAATTTCAAAAAAATTCAAAGTGCATTTTCTGGCCGAAGATGTAAATTTACATTTATCCGCGGGACTTACAAGAGGTAAAAAGTTATCACATTTCAGTTGCATCCAATTTTTTTAGATCTTTCCATTGGAGAAAATTTTGAATTTAAATCCACAAAAGTGTAAATCAGAAAGTAAAAATGATTTTGACGATGTCAAATCACACTTAAGTTTATATTGCTATTGGAGATGTTCTTAACACAATTTGTAGTGTAGGATTTTGGGTACCGAAGTTGACACAATTTTTTTATAAATTTTTTTTTACTTAAAGCGAAATTCTTAGCTATTATTATATGTAACTAAATGTACATCTTCATTCAGAAATTCATGAAATAATACAGCGAATAATGTATTAATTTTATACAGTTGAATAGGATAAAATATGATCCTTATCCAATCTAATTCATATATAAATTCGCATTCTAAAACTATTTAATTTTATACAGTTGTATACAGTGATGCTCAATTATTTAATTTAATACACAAAGTACTAAAAATTTTGCCAATATAATACTTACTAATTAGTAGTAAAGTTATATTCTGCAGCCAGTAACAAAATTTAAACTTTGATCCCCCGAATCAGAAAATTACAGAACTAATCCTTTTTAATAATCTCCAAAGGGTTTCCCTTTGTCTGTACCATGAATTTTTAATAATCAATTAGCCACCCTAAATTTCCTTCTCCAACATTGCCCACATAAAAACAAATTCTGAAATTTATTCAGATTCCCCACAATCAGGACTATTATATATATTGATGATCAGGTAAGCATGTAAATTACATACCTGAATTCAACTGAAGGAATGAACTGATCTCAGGTGCTGGATTCATCCCAAAGGCATTCTATCAGTAGCCAAACTTCAGCCCCAAAAATGCTAAATTTTATCCTACTCTCTTCGTTGTATAGGAAGGATTAAAAATTAGAAAAAATGAAGGCCTGACAAGAATTAATCTGAGCAACTACAGTTTATCCTAATTACGCCGGTTTCATCAACGTTCAAACAAAGCAAAGGTAGGATTAAGAAATTAAAAATAAATATAGTAATTAAGACAAATAATTTGAACAGAAAAAAAAATTGTAACCATAAATAAATGAGAAGAAACCATCAGAAAAATTGGATTATTACTGCATCAAATTGTGCTCAGACGACCGTCGTGAGATTTTAAATCCAAATTCATCATTTGGCTTCAAATATTTAAACAAAATCTGGAAAAAGATGTTTGTGATTAGAGACTATTAATCCTAATTCATCAATTTGGCATCAAACATTCAATCAAAAGCCGGAAAAGAAGTGAGTCTATGTGTGTTTGAGCTGTGATTTAAAGGGGGAGGTATGGCGCGATTAGGGTTTAGTTTTGTTATATATCGTATTATGTTTACCAATTTTCCCTTCACGGCCCAAACCTTTGTTCTGTATATGGACTGCCCACTTCAAGGTAAGCCCATTCGTAGTACCCGAAAAGCAGTTGAGAAAAGGGAAAATTACCTCAAAACCTGCATTTAAAGATTACATTTCAAAAAAAATGGGATTAATTTTTTTTTTTTGTTTCAAAAATCAGGTGGTAAATAAGTTTTTTTTTTCCACAAATCGGGTGTTAAGTAAGATTAGTTAAAATAATAAATTAAATTACCACCCATGACCCACCCCACCCCCAATCCAAAATCCACAAATCATTTTACCCTCTCTCTCCTTTTCCATTACCATCGCTCACTTTACCCTCTCTTTCTCTCCATCTCTTCCAGCTACACAACAGGGCACCACTATTGTTGGGAGTAGTGGAGCAGTAGTGGCTCCTTGATTCATAGTCGTCGATCGTGTCCACCGCGTGCTGTGGAGCAGCATCCGTGTGAGGCTTCACTATCGCTGCACATAGCGACGATAAGCAGGGATGGAGGTTCTGGTGGATATAGATCGAGCGTAGTGGTGCTGCCGGGTTGGAGGCATTAATACTGCTCATCCGTCGCTGCCATCGATGTCATTGTTGCAAGAAATCGTCAATCGCGCCACTTCAGCTCACTGCTGCTTCGACACGACATTGGTGATACTATTGTTGGTGCGGATCTGCACGTTGGTGATGCGAATTTTAGATTTGGGTGAGATGGTGATGCGATGTCAGGTTGTACGATGGTGATGATTGAGAAAATCTATTAAATTTTGGTGTATGGGTTGTGGTGGTGGTTATGGTGGTGAGTTGGTGGCTTGGAGGAGGTGGTGGCGGGCTTTGGTGCAGGTGGTGGCAATGGTAGTGCTATAGGTTGCGGTGGTTGTTGCAGTTGGTGCTGGTGGGGTAAAATTGTAGTTGGTCGAATTTGGTAGGAAGAGGTGGTTGATGGCCGACGATGTGCAGTGGTAGGCCTGAATGTTTGCCGCCCTTTGGAGCTTTAGCAGCCCTTCCACCCACACACCCCCGATTTTGAAATCCCTAAATCACCCGTTTTCTCTTTCTCACTCAATCTCTCTGTTCTCTCTTAATAAGTTTTGTTGCACCCACCCAACTTTAGCCACAATCAATGGTGGCTGGTGGTAGAAGGGATGAGATTTCGACCAAATATGTGTTGATTGTGACTGGTTGTGACATATTATGACTGTTTGTCACCTGTTTGTGACCGATTATGACTGTTTGTAACCAATTATGACTCGTTGTAACCGATTGTGACTGATTGTGACTTGAAATTCTAGAATTTTTTTAGAAATTGGGAGTGGATGGATGTAGTGGGTAGGTTGATCAGAGCATGCGTTGGAGTAGTTATTGGAGCAGTCGGAACTTTCATCGAAGCAGACGCCGGAGTGATCGCTGGAACAGTCGCCGGAGAGGCCGTCGGAGTGATCGTCAGAACAGTGCCGGAGTAGATGACTACCTCTGATTGAGAGAAATGGTAGGGAGATGATAGAGAGTATAGAGAGATAATGATTTGGATTTGAAATTTAATAAATTGGGATAATTGTATTATATTATAATTAAAAATATTTAATAAATTGATTTAACACTTGATTTTTGAAATTTGTTATTTATGAAATGTGATCTTTAAAATAAGAAATTATGTATTGTTCCCTTGAGAAAAATACATAACTACTATATTAGGATAAAATATAGTTTAAAAATCAGGTGGTAAATGTATATAATATAATATAAATTAGGATAAAATGTAGTTTAAAATAGATCCTAAAAAACAGGAAATATTCCATTTATAAACGATATTTATCACTCTCCCTCTCACAATCAAACACTGAATTTCTCTCTCTCTCTCGAATCGTGATTTCCAAAATCTTTCCAAATTATGAAAGGTCAAATGGATGTGTTCCATCAATTTGGACTCCAGCTACATATTTATGAAATGTTAGAGACTTTCGTTGACACGTAATAAAGGTTAGGGTAAAGTCTGTAAAAATTGAAAGGGGACTGCTGCTGCAATTTTCTCTTTTTTTTGATTAAGAAAAAATGTGTAACGTTTTAAACTTGTGATTTGTGGTATTTTAAAGGTTTTTACATTAAGTTTTGTTTTCATATTTAGGTTATCGACCATATTTAGGTTTGTACATAATGTTGTGCATCCGATTATTCGTTATGTCAAAAATTTTAGTATAATTCACTATTTTGCAATGAACCGTCAAGAATTATTGAGACAATCTATCGGGACTAACAGTTGAATGTAATATTATTTCTACACGACTAATACTTGCAAACGATAATGACATGAAACTCATAAATATAATATAAAATGTTTTAATGACATCATTGTGAGATGCAAATTACAACTTCATCCCTTGAACGTCATTTCTATTTACGTATTTTGTGTTCGAACGAGTTCGAACATGTGGCCCGGTTATAGCCAACTCTTCCACACCGATTGCATTTCATGATGCATAGGCTAAACTGGTATTATTGCTCATACTTGAAAAGTTGAGATTTCAATGATATGCATTCTGCATAATCAATATGTCGGCATTTAATAGCATGAAAGTGACAACTTCGAATACTTAAATCCAAACAATAGCAAACAGGTAAAATGAAAGTTGAAATGTCTATTCTTACATTTCGAAAATGTGGAATTCGAGAGTTTGTTTAAAAAAAATTAAGTCCCTGATTAAGTCACATTAAAATTTTTATTCACATTCTTTTACTCATTTCAACCACACATTCTTCAATAAAATAATATTTTCCATCACATCAATAACTTTTCCATATATTTCAACCACACATTATCCATCAATCTATTATTTTAAAATACATTCTTCCAAAATAATGTGACTCAAACACATCCTAAATTTAAAATAAATTTTAAATGGGGTGAGTAAAGGGCGGGGACTATGTTTCCCGTACCGCCCCACCCTGTACCCATTTCGGGGCAATGATCTCCGCCCCCCGTCCCCAACCCGTTTATTCGATTAGATAGGTAATCTCCGGTCTATTTGTGGCGAGGCACCAAGAGTAGCAGGTTGAACAAATGTTTTTGTCATCCCTAAATGTATTGTACATATATCCAATGGTTTCTAATACACAACTCAAAGTAATACACAATGACATTAATTAGCATAAAATGCTCTAAAATATCTAAGGGTGATTTGGACATTTCACATTCAAAAATTGACATTTTTGAACACTATTTGTAAAAGTGACAATTTTTCGTGTATTTTCAAAATTTGTGGCATCTATGAAAAATCCCCCATTTTTAATGAAAACTTTAATTTAAACCTTGTTTGGAATTTAACTTGGCTTCTGTTTGGTGGTCATTATTTGAGAAAAACAATATTTTGAATAGTAATTTTTTTAAAAAATGTCTGATTAAAAAGTAAAAAATAATTTTAAATTTACATGTAAATATTTTATTGTGTGAATGTGTGATTAAAAATCAGTACATGAAAAAATAGTTTTGAAATAAAGCTCCAAACAGATGCTAGATTTTGACACAACCATTCAAGAATTTTGACCGATCCAATGTAGTCAACAGGATTGATTTACAGGTTTTCCCAAGAGGAGACTGCTACAATGCCAAGAAAAAAATGACATGCACCGTGACAGATCACTCACACCAGGGGGAGGGCCCTCAATTTTTTGGAAATTTTTTATTGTAGCGGGTTCCACAACAATGTGAGAATCTGTCAAATCGTGTGTCAATTTTGTTCTGGCAAATGAGCTTTATCCTTCCCAAGAATTGTCAAATCTATTCTAGTCCGTTTTAAAATTACAATTATGTTACATATTAATTAACATTTCATGATAATGTTGACTTCGATTTTATCATTGATTTTAACAACACTTAAAATAATCAATGACTTCGATTTCTACTCATTATCAAATATCAACCCTAATGTAGAAACGTGATGAACAAATAGGTTAATTGTTAAAACTATTCCAGACCTCTAAGTTTCGAGTAGTCCTTTTATTGAATGTGGGAGGTTGATTTTATGGTAGCAAGTAGCAACTATTCAATTGCAGGAGGGAATATTCCTATTCGATATATTTTTTTCTTAGCCATTCCTATTCTATTTTTGTGACTTCGGTAAGTGTTTATCTTGAGAGAATATTTGAAGTGAATGATAATTTTTTCAGAATATAAGATTAATAAGTAGAAAAAGTTATGAGTTCAGTTGTAAAATCATTCTAATGGAGGAATATATTGTTGAAAATGAGTTTAAGAAAAAATAATTTTCAAATAAGTTGTGTCAAATAAGCACTTATTTATCTTTCTGCAACAAAAATCATAAAACACAGTTAAAATACTATGAGTGTGTTTGGTAGAGATTAAAATCGGATTAAAATTAAAAAATTAGTCGTTATTGTTGACTTTTATTAGACGAGTGAGACCCAATAACGACTATATTTTCAAT